TCACATGACCATGCCCACCTAAGACACGCCCACAGAATTGGTTGTTATAAAATTTGAACCCCAACCCTGGTCTGAGCCCTTTCCCAAGGTAGGACAAGGGTGGAATATGCTGTCTAAAAACATATGCTTGCTTCTGATCCTTTTTGTCCCAGTACATTTTCGCCCAGGGGTGGGATTCTACCAGCATAACAACTGGTTTGGTGATTGTGCACCTTGTGCGCGTTCGAGCCAAATGTGCGTTGTGCGCGTGCGCTCCATGTTTTAAAAAGCTAAAATTCCTACCTTGTAATGCACTTCCTGTGAATCAAACAGCTGAGGCCAGCAAACCGTTCTGCCATGCCAATCAGCTACATTCTAAAACCAGGAAATAAAGGACAGGAAGGAGCAAGGGTGGGCTGGCCCACATGCAAGTCACAGTGAACTGGTTCCGAGCCAGCTGATCGTCGAAACAAGGGATTCGCCCAATCCGATCCAAATCAGTAGAATCCCACCCCTGTTTTCACCTGTACTGAGTATTACCTCTAGTAAGTGAAGAATGGAGGTGGCACAGTGGTTAGAATGCAGTATTGCAGGCTGACTCTATCCACTGTCAGCAGTTTGATTCTCACCAGATCAAGGTTGACTCAGCCTTGTATCCTTCCAAGGTTGGTAAAATGAGGACCCAGATTGTTTGAGGGGGGGCAGTATTCTGACACTGTAAATTGCTTAGAGTGGGCTGCATAAGCACTATGAAGCGGTATATAAGTCCAAGTGCTATTCCTAGTGCTGTTTATGATTGAGCATCTAGTGATGGGGCGATGATTTGTTCGATATGGGCTTTGCTGCAATGGGTTTAATGTAACCTTTTTTTTTTTTTGCATTGTTTTGGATGATCAAGGGAGGTCCTAACACCACTCTATAAAGCCTTAGTAAGACCACACTTAGAATACTGCATCCAGTTTTGGTCATCACACTATAAAAAAGATGTTGAGACTCTAGAAAGAGTGCAGAGAAGAGCAACCAGGATGATTAGGGAACTGGGGACTAAAACATATGAAGAATGGTTGCAGGAACTGGGGATGTCTAGTATAGTGAAGAGAGGAACCAGGGGAGACATGATAGCAGTCTTCCAATATTTGAGGGATTGCCACAGAGAGGAAGGGGTCAAGCTATTTTCCAAAGCATCTGAAGGCCAGACAAGGAATAATGGATGGAAATCAAGGAGAGATTCAACCTAGAAATAATGAGAAATTTTCTGACAGTGAGAACAATCAATCAAATGAACAGAAGTTGCCTTCAGAAGTTGTGGGAGGCACATCACCGGAAGCTTTCAAGAAGACTGGACTGCCATTTGTCAGAAATGGTGTAGGGTCTCATGCTTGGGCAGGAGCTTGGACTAGATGACCTACAAGATCCCTTCCAACTCTGTTAATCTGTAAAGCTATTTTAAACTTGCAGATCTTTGGCGTTGAGTATTTTTTTGAAGCTGTAAAAGGATATCTGCCTGGGGTCTACATTGATTTGGGGGGAGGGCACATATAAATCTTGTGAAATAATGAACACTGTGAAATAAATGAGAACATTCTGTAGGTTATCCTTGAACTTTAGACAACCCCAGATCTATGCAAAATGGACTATCTTAATAAACTTAACAAAGTGATAGTATGGTGATATGTAGTTCCTGAAATTTTAGCGTGCTTCCTCCATTCCAGACACCAACATAAGATGAGGTAATGCAAATAAGGTGTCTCTACGACTTGGTGAAAAATGGAAAGAAAGACACCAAAAAGGTGAAGGCAAGTGAGAACTGGCAATGGTATCAAGTAGGCTTGACGCAAAATAGGGAGGAAGTGTAGGAAGTTGAAATTGCTTTTCTTCTTGATATGCAGCCTTGCCACACTTTTTTTTTCACATAGTTGACTCTTCTGTCCTTGCAAAACACAGCACATGACTAGTTTCTTCATTAGACACGACTATTTCTCCACTCCCTTTGGGTAAAGAATCAATAGGCAATATATTGTGGCTTAGGGATAAAATTAGGGCCTGAATATTTCAACTGTTCACAGGGCAGAAAAGAATACTTTTGCTCAACTGTTGTGGCCCACCAGTGGCCAGCAGAGCTGGCGGCAGACTCAGACAGTGAGGAGGTTGGGGGGGAACATGGGCCAGTCCTGGAGTCTGGGGAAGTTCTGATGAGTGCTCTACATCAGTGATCCCCAACCTTTTTTATGCCGCGGCCCGGTATCCCCAACCTTTTTTATGGTGCAGCCCGGTACCGACATCAGCTGGGCACCGCCATCTTGTTTTGATGAAAAAGTGCTTCCGGTGAGCTTTCTACCCGGAAAAGCTCACCGGAAGCACTTTTTCATCAAAACAAGATGGCGGCGCCCAGCAAGCCAGCGGCCCGGTAGGACTTGTTCCACGGACCGGGACCGGTCCGCAGACCGGTGGTAGGGGACCCCTGCTCTACATCAAAGGCAGAGATTGGGCCAGGGCCGTCCGACAGTTATCAGCTGCCTTCGGATTCGGAGGTCAGTGGGGCAAAAGAACAGCTGGAGCCTGTTCCCAACATGCACTTGTGCAGAACTGCCAGAAGAAGGGAACAGTTAAGGAACAAGGGTCAACTTGGAAGTAAAGACACAGGTGGATGGTGAATGCCCCTCTCATAGGGAATAAAGAGGAGCGAAAGGGGAGTGATGTTTGCAGGAAACAATTAGTTCATTTAATTAGGGGAAAGATTTGACTCCTTGCCAAGTATTTTCTGGTACAGCCTTGCGCTTGGAAGCTATCGGCCTGGCAACTCTCCAAGCCTGATAATTTCTGTAGTTGCAAATCACTCTTGAAAGACTGTTTGCTGGGACTTTGCTGGATGTGAATGAGAGGAATTCACATTAGACTAATAAAAAACGGTTTTGTCGGGATGAGGAGTCTGCTTCATGATTTTGTGAAGCCTCGGTCAGAACACCCGAGTGTTATTAGGCAAACAAGGAATTTGTCTCTGGCGCAGAAACTCTCCATTGCCAAGTTTGAAAAATCAGTGAAGTAAAAGTACAGGTAGTCCTTGACTTACAATAGTTTGTTTAGTGACCATTGAAAATTACAACGACACTGAAAAAAGTAGCTTTTGACCATGTTTCACACTTATAAGTATAGCAGCATCCCCATGGTCATAAGATCAAAATTCAGACGCTCGACAATTGACTCATATTTATGATGGTTGCAATGTCCCGGGTCTCATGATCCCATTTTGCTACTTTCTGATTAGCAAAGTCAATGGGAAAATCAGATTCACTTAACAATTGGGTTACTAATTAAATAACTGCAATGATTCCCATAACAAATGTGGCAAGGAAAGTCGTAAAATGGAGCAAAACTCACTTAACAAATGTCTCACTTTAGCAACAGAAATGTTGGGCTCAATTGTGTCAAGGACTACCTGTATGTCCCTAAATTTTTTGTTATTGAATACTGTAAGTCTGTTGGAGCATGAAGAAGACGGAAGCAATCGATATCATATTTTAGATCTGTGAACCCCATGGATGAAATGGTAGATGGGAATGGCCTTGGGAGACAGGAGGAAAAATGTTAGCAGACAATAGCCAGAAAAGAGGAAACTCAACCCACAAAGCAACGCAGGGGTGGCAAAGTCTGAGAAAGGACTTTGTATCTTTGACTGGAAAGGCAAGAGGTGGGGGGGGGGGGGGAGATGTATTTTCAGTCTTGCAAGATTCTGTTAATGTAACCATACAATAAAGTTGGAGCGATTACTTCTGAGTATGCTTCTTGTGTGGGCTACCTTGTCAAGCTGACAGTGGAGCATAGAACTTTCCCAGGGAGGTCAACTAACGAATGGTGGACCATATGCAACCCAGATCAAACCACCAACAATAATTTGAATGCTTCTATTGTTTTCTTTTTTTAATTATTGTTATTTTATTGCTTTAAAATGTTTTGAGCATGTCAACTTAATATTTTTTTTAATTGTGAACCACCGAGAGTAATTAACAGAGATAGGCAGCTATGGAAATTGAAAAATATATATGAATTAATAAATAATTTGGCCTCAGGGGTGCTTTTTTTCAAGAGGCAACTGGACTTTCTTGTTTTTCTTTGAAGACGTTTCGCTTCTCATCCAAGGAGCATCTTCAACTCTTGGATGAGAAGCGAAACGTCTTCAAAGAAAAACCAGATGGTCCAGCTGCCTCCAGAAAAGCACCTTTGGGACAACCATGACTTGGATGACTAAGAATCTCCATAGACATTAAATTTGGCCACAGTTTCCTCATTTGCTCTTTTTGTTGGGAACAAAATGTCAATGCATGTAGTTCTTGACTTACGACCACAATTGAGTCCAACATTTCTGTTGCTAACTGAGACAGTTGTTAAGAGAGTTTTGCTCCCAGTTTATGACCTTTCTTAATTGTTAAGTGAATCATTGCAGTTGTTAAGCTGGTAACGTAGTTAAGTGAATCCGGCTACCCCATTGACTTTGCTTGTCAGAAGGTCACAAAAGGGGATCATGTGACTCCTGGGACACTGCAACTGTCATAAATATGAGTCAGTTGCCAAGCACCTGAATTTTGACTTCGGGAATGTGCTGCAACAGCCGTAAGTATGAAAAAAACACTCATAAAACATTTTTTTCACTGCGTTGTAATTTCAAAAGGTCGCTAAGCGAGCTGTTGTAAGTTGAGGACTGCCTGTGTAGGTGTTAAGCCTATGTGTAACGTTCAGTTTGTTCTTCATTCATTCCAGAAAATGAGAGCAGGACTCCACAGGCCTGAAGTGCAAAGAGCTATAACACAATCCCCAAATCTTTCCGAAAATAAGTTTACGGTTTCCACGAGCTCCGAAATGACACAATAAGCCTGTAGAATGTGTGAAATGATAAAGGCAGGCAGGGAGATAAAGTTGAATGAGTCATTTCCTCAAGAAATTACTATTGCTGCTTTAATCTACTATTTTGGCCTCCGTGCCACCCCCCACACAGACCATAACACTTCCCTCTCTCATTCTTGAGGCAGCTTCCCGTTTATCCAAGCTACCTTGTGCAAATCAGCGATGTTAAACCATGGCTGAAACACCCACTTCTGGACAGATAAATGTTCCTCATGTTCACTGACCTTTACAAGGCTTGGGTGCAAGGGACCGTCAACAGCTGAGGATGGAGTTGGTGCAGCTGTTTTTCTGTTTTTCAGCCATTGCCGGCAAGTGCCTTTTTAAAATATTTCGATAGATGTATGAATATATCAGGGTTATTGTAGAGCTTCTGGCTCTTATTCTTTTGCATTAGCTAAGCTCAGCTGCTTATTAATTAATTAATTAATTAATTAGATTTGTTTTATATATCCAGGTAGCTCAAGGTGGTGAATATATCTAACATTTTTCCTTTTTCCTATTTTCCCCACAACAACTCTGTGAGGTGGGCTGGGCTGAGAGAGAGTGAATGGCTCAAAGTCAGCTAGCTGGGTTTCACCGCTAAGATGGGACTTGAACTCACCATCTCATGATTTCTAACCAGACGCCTTAACCACTAAGACCAGGAGGTCTCCGAACTTGGTAACTTTAAAACTTGTGGACGTCAACTCTCAGAATTCCTCAGCCAGCCATGTTTGGAGATTCTTGCTCTAAACCAAACTGGCTTTCTCTAAACTATTTCATTATTTGTATACTTTTTCTCTTTAACCCACTTCTCTTGTATTATGCTGCTGCAGGCAGACTTTTGATGTTTTGCAAGAAAAATAAATGGAAGTTTTCCAAAATATTTGGAAAAGATGTGAATTCTGAGGAAGACTAGAGGGAACTCAGAGGAGAATGACTTTTCTTGCATCAGTTGTTAAGTGAACCACTGCAGTTGATAAGTTAGTAACCTGGTTGTTAAATGAATCTTGCTTCCCCCATTGACTTTGCTTGTCAGAAGGTCGCAAAAGGGCATCATGTGATCTTGGGACAGAGCAAAGGTCATAAATACGAGCCAGTTGTCAACCATCTGAATTTTGATGACATGACCATGGGGTTGCTGGAATGGTCGTAACTATGAATAATGGTCATAAGTCACTTTTTTCAGTGCTGTTGTAACTTTAAATGCTCACTAAGCAAATTGTTGTAAGTCGAGGATTACCTGTGTAGAAAAACAAGCCTGGAGATGCAGGAGACAATGTTTTGGTTGCATTGTGAAAGCTACTTGCCTTACAACAATTTCTTTAGTGACCATTCAAAGTTACAACCGCACTGTATTGGAAGAAAAATCCATCTGGTTCAGTTCCAAGCTGGGAAAATGATACTGGAAACAAAATGGAGGCTGATTGGAAAGAAAGATTCTTTTTATTGATGAGCAGAAACACTAACAGCATGTGGTTCTGGGGCCGCTGACCTACCGGTTGAATGAGTGGATGGATCTTTATAGGTTTCTGAGATGCTGCTGGGAGCTGTGCAATATCTGAAATGCCCTAGGGGTTGTGCAATGTAGTGAACTCTGTGTCTTTTGTTATTCTAATGGTGATGGGTTAATCCTATTATGTCCTAAAAGGTCACGTCTTTTCTTAGAATTTGGGTGGAGGAGGATGTAAATTTTAATCTCATCGCTGGGGGTGAAGGTGTTTTGTTTGTCAGTAGGCCGGCCCAATCTTTTTTAATGGGCACATTAAGAAAGACTGGGGGCTACTTTCTGCCTTTAAGAACATGTTTCTCCATTTCTCCTTTGGGGAAATATAATATTCTGCCTCTTTTAATATTCCCCAAAACATTTCATTCTCTAGGAGAGGGAGGAGGCTTCCCATGACTGAAAAGAGTGATTAATGATCAGTCATTGCGGTTATGACCATCCAGCATCCCAATGGTCATGTCATCAAAATTCAGACACTTAGCAACCATTGTGTATTTATGAGGGATGCAGCATCCCAGGGTCACATGATCAGCTTTGTGGCAACTTTTCTAGCTCGCTTCTGACCAGCAAAGTCAAAGGGGAAAGCTGGATTAATAATTGCAATGGTTTGCTTAACAGTGGTGGCAAAAAAAAAAATTTTTTTTTAAACCAGGCGTGATTCACTTAACAACCACTTCATTTAGCAATGGAAATTCTGTTCTCATAAGTCTGGCACTCCCTGTGCAGCAGAATGGGTATTTAGGGCAGAATTAGGACCCGAGTCAGCAAATTTCTCTGCAAAAGTTAGTATCGCTGAGTTCTGTGAGATTTACTGACATGTATATCTCGATTGCACCGTAAAAATATGCATTGGTGATTTTTATCATTTATTTATTTATTGAAATAATTTGTATTTGTTATGAATAAGGAACCTGAAAGGTATTGTGTTTCTTCGTGCCTTTAGACCTCCCAGTATTAGAACCCAGCTTACAAATACTGCTGCTTTGACTGACCAGTCAGAATAGAGTTGGAAGGAACCTTCGAGGTCTTCTAGTCCAACCCCCTGCTCAGACAGGAAACCCTATAGCATTTCAGACAAATGGCTGTCCAGTCTCTTCTTAAAAACCTCCAGGGATGGAGCACGTACAATGTCTGAAGGCAAGCTGTTCCACTGGTTGATTGTCCTCACTGTGAGGAAGTTTCTCCTTAATTCTAGGTTGCTTCTCTCCTGGATTATTTTCCATCTATTGTTTCTTGTCTGCCCTTCTGGTACTTTGGAGAATAATTTGGCCCCCTCTTCTTTGTGGCAGCCTCTCAGTTACTGGAATACTGGTATCATGTTCCCACTAGCCCTTCTTTTCTCTAGATTGGCCATACCCAATTCTTGCAACCATTCTTAATATGTTTTTGTCTCTGGGCCCTTACTCCTCTTAGTAGCTCTTCTTTGCATTTTTTCCAAAGTCTCAAAACCTTTTTTATAATGTAGTGACCAAAACTGGATGCAGTATTCCAGGTATGGTCTTACTAAGGTTTTATAAAACAGTACTAATACTTCACTTGATTTTGATTCTATGCTTTTATTTGTACAACCAAGGATTGTGTTCACATTTTTGGCTGCTGCCGCACACTGCTGGCTGATGTGGAAGTGATTGTCCACTATGATTTGCATGATTTGCATAAGGACATCATGGTACCTATGATGTTACTGTGACTTGTTTTTTTTTTTGAGACAGATTTTATTAATTTTAAAGACAAACAAAGCATCATTAAACATTGAACACATAAAACCTCTTTCCATTATAAATTTTTACAAGGCAGATAAAACATTATTTTATACAACATAATTCTAATCTATCCCATTTCCATATGGACACATAAATATCTTTTAGCAAATTTCTCATTATTTCTCTTTACTCTTATTCAGTTACCTTTCTTTTCTATATTTATTCATTTTATAGTCATCATATTCATATTTCCCTCTGACTTGTTTACAATTATTCTCATCTGACATTCCTCCAAGGTTTTATTAATTCTCAAACAAACATAAACACACAAAATACAAAAACATAAAACTTCTTTTTAGAAAGTGGCTTGGCCCCGGATTACCTCTCTTTATACGGACTTCAATTAAATTCATGCTCATCTTATATACCATTACCTATCTTATTTACCATTCTATATCTTCTATATAACTTCTCCCCGCTTCTCACTCTTCTTAATTCTATTTTATTTATTTCATCTTAGTTTAAATCATTATACTTGTATCTTTTGTCCATTCTTTTCCAATTATCCATTTATCTCATTCCCTATAATAAAAAAAAAGATTTCTCCTGAAATCACTAATTGAAGTATGATGCCTTTCTATCGTTCCCCTAAATTGACATTTAAAATAACACCTAGTTCCCAATCTGATTCTGCTTAGTACATTCTACCTACTAAATTTTAAGAAAAAGAGAAAATAGTAAATCTATAAAATAATTAAGTACATAATTAAATATTAAATCTTGTAACATTCCAATTATCTATTTCAAAGACAAATGCTGCAATAATAAATTTATAATAACATCAACACAATAATCAATTAAACTCTATAATTGAACTAAATATTTTAAACATTCCCTTTAATATTTTATTAAATCTTAAAATCTATCATTATTAAGCATTTTAATATTTTAATCTTTTTTTAGATCTTATAAAATTCTAATTTTCTATTTCTAATACAAATACTACAATACTATCTTATATACTGTATATACTCGAGTATAAGCCTAGTTTTTCAGCCCAATTTTTGTGCTGAAAAAATCCCCCTCGGCTTATACTCGAGTCAGATTCCCCTCTGAAAAAAAAAATGGTGTGGAGTCGCGGCCTCCGGCGGCAGCGACTCCCAACAGCCCCAGCCGGGAAGGGAAAGGCAAAAAGTGCTTTGCCTTTCCCTTCCCGAGGCGGCGGGACTGGGGCCGCGCCGGCGGTAGTGACTCCTGACTCAGGGGGCCTCCGAGGGAGGGGAAGAGAGTGACTCCTGCCTCCCGCTGTCATCATCATCTTCTTCTTTTGGGTTAGTGAATCAATTAAACCTTTCATGATAGTGAGATCGTTTCCCAAATTAATTATTTTTATTTTTGAAATTTACCAGTAGCTGCTGCATTTCCCACCCTCGGCTTATACTCGAGTCAATAAGTTTTCCCAGTTTTTTGTGTAAAATTAGGTGCCTCGGCTTATATTCGGGTCGACTTATACTCGAGTATGTACGGTACCTTGCAGAATCTTTTTTTTTTTAAATTATACATTACCCTTTATCCCTAAATTTTTTTTGCTTTTTCCCATCTTGTTTCATACCTTTGTGGCTTCCCCCCCCTTTTCCCTTCCTTTCTTATCCCACCTGGCCTTTTCACCCCCCCTCTCCTAACCTCCGCCTTTTTAGCTTCCCCTCTCTGTTGTATTCCTCTTTTCTTTTGCTTTCTAACATTGTATTGATTTTGCATCTTATTTTTCTCTTTCTTGGGTGTTTTTTTTAGGTCTTAAGTCCTTCATTTTCCTTCCTCTCTTTCTCCTTTCTTTCTTAATTAAACTTTTGGATTCATTAAAGATGGCTTCTTCTTCTTCTTCTTCTTCTTCTTCTTCTTCTTCTTCTTCTTCT